AGAAAAAAAAATCCAAATTATTTTCTTTAAATTTTTTCTTTAAAATATACAATTATTTTAATACTCTTGAAAAATCTATTTTCTAATGTTTCATATTCCTGATAAATTCAAACTCATAAATGGTTTAGCAAGTATACTATGTAACAATGCTATAATTAAGAATAGATCAAAAACAAGTCGGTATGCTTTCTATTTTGAGCTTAACCTCTGCCTGCAGAGATGGGTGGGCAAAGGCAGCACTGACAAACAAGAGGCATTCATTTATATGCTTGTAAGCTTGTATCAGGAGCATTCTCATGTTACATCACTCCTCATTCCCAATCCCTTGATACCTGGCAGATAACAAATCAGAAATCTCAATAAGTTCATCACTTTTTTGCCTTTTTTGGTGGAAGTCAGGCTATGTCTGTGTGAGCTATGGGATTACATTTGTCTAGGAGTGTCTGGGAGTCCTAAACCCATAAACAGATGTTTGCTTGGTTATTTTCTTACAGTCATTGTGCAACAGATGTGTATTTTGTGTCAAATATTTTTTTCATATGTTTTTATGTTATATTTGTGATATATACTGTGACATATGCTCTATATATGATTACTTCTCAATACTCTTCATCAACAAAAGATAAAATTTTATCTGCAGTAGGAACTGGAGCTGGGATAGAGATGGTGATTGGAAATAGGATTGAGGTGGTTCCTGAGAGATAGGAAACAAGAGAGACAAGACTCATACAGGGGCAGAATCTAGATTAAAGCCAGGGTCTGGATCAGGGTTGGATGAATCTGGACTAGGGAGAAAACCAATAGCAGAGCCTGAAAAAACAGTTTTAAAATACTCACCTCATGAGTACACTGTTGAAGGTCAGGTAGAAGAGGAGACTTTGAGGTCAAAAGTGACAGAGGCTCAGAGACTGACAGTGCAGGAGACTCCGGGCACAGGGAAATAATGTTTAAAATAGATCAAATAAAATGTAACAATCAACTGTTCCAAGATACGTCTGAGGTTTGCAAAAACAGACAATAGAGTTGGTGTGGTAATCTGTATCCAGAAAGCCTTGGAGAAAGGATCAACTACTCATATAAGTCCACTTATATGTGGACTTTCTTCTTGATCTCTCTGCAACCAAGATCCTTCTATCTGTCCTCACCAACCTTTGAAACAGTGGCTCCATATGGCAGTGGTCTGAGTCCTATCTGGAGGGGTGCTCTTATCAGGTAACATGGAGAGATTCCACATCCGCTCCATGCAGCCTCTCCACCGGTGTCCCATAAGGCTCAGTGCTGGGTCCCCTTTTCTTTTCACTCTATGCTCATTCTCTTAGTGATGTAATACTCTCTCATGGCTTATCTTACCACTGCTATGATGAGAACACCCAATCAATGCTTTCCTTCCCACCATCTGAACTCAGATCTCCTGTCCTATCTCAGCATGTCTGACTGGATCTCTTCATGGATGGGAGGTCACCTCCTGAAACTTCCGGAGGATTCCACCCTCTCTTTTAGGAGGCTACCCGGGTGCTCGTTCAGTCTGTTGTCATCTCAAGGCATGACTGATTAAGAATGCAGCAGCACAGCTCCTAAATTTACTCATGGCACTCCATGGCTGTGAGCCCTTCACTGGCTTCCTGTAGCTCCCCACATCAGATTTAAAACCTTGTTGCTTGCCTGCAAAAAGAAAAATGGACCAGTCCTGCCCTACCTTATGGCAATGCTCAAAAATGAATCTGTACCTCAAGCCTTTCAAGCTTCAAGTACAGCTCGGTTTGACACGTCATCCTTCAAGACTCATGGAAGACAGGCATCAAGATTCTTCTCTGTCCTGGCACCCAGGTGGTGGAACAAACTTCCACTGGCTGTCTGAACAGCAGACTCTCTTGCAGTCTTCAAATGCAGATTGAAGACTCATTTTTTTGTACAGCACTTAAGTGAGCACTTATCTAGGTACTTACTGAAACGTATTATATTGCACTTATGCTGTGTTTAATTCTTATTTTTCTTTCTAGATATCAGCACTGTCTTTTGTTTCTAGCAGTGTCTGAGTTCAAAGGTAGTTTGGATCCTAACCTATTTGTACACGCTGGGATACATTCTCTGAATGGAAAACAAAGCATACGCGTGCCTGCTAAATGCTGTAAATGTAAAAACAAGACTGTGTGCACTGATGCACAGCTACAGATCTGAAACCAAACATTACAAAAATAAGTAATGGAGTACCAGACATGGTAATCAGATTTCATAGACTGCAAAAAAGATGCAAAGCCTTTGACATCTACATTTATGTAACTGTACCATTTCAGACACAGTCAGATGCTCACAGATAAAACAGTGTTATGAAGGGAGGCCTGACAGTAACCATTTTTTATTATAACTGCAATAAATAATTTTTGACAAAAAACATTGTTAATTTTATTGACCTGGATATGCAATACATACACTATATTGCCAAAAGTATTCACTCACCCATCCAAATAATTGAATTCAGGTGTTCGAATCACTTCCATGGCCACAGGTGTATAAAATCAAGCACCTAGGCCTGCAGACTGCTTCTACAAATATTTGTGAAAGAATGGGTCGGTCTCAGGAGCTCAATGAATTCCAGTGTGATACCGTGATAGAATGCCACCTGTGCAACAAGTCCAGTCGTGAAATTTCCTTGTTGCTAAATATTCCACACTCAATTGCCAGTGGTATTATAAAAAAGTGGAAGCGATTGGGAATGACAGCAACTCAGCCACGAAGTGGTCGGCCTCGTAAAATGAGACCTCTGCACATAGTGCGCAGAGGTCCGAGCAGCTGCACCCAGGCCTTACATCACCAAGTGCAATGCAAAGCATCGAATGCAGTGGTGTAAAGCGTCGACTGGACTCTAGAGCAGTGGAGACGTGTTCTCTGGAGTGACGAATCATGCTTCTCCGTCTGGCAATCCGATGGACGGGTCTGGGTTTGGTGGTTGCCAGGAGAACGGTACTTGCATTGTGCCAAGTGTAAAGTTTGGTGGAGGGGGGATCATGGTGTGGGGTTGTTTTTCAGGAGTTGGGCTCGGCCCCTTTGTTCCAGTGAAAGGAACTTTTAATGCTGCAGCAGACCAAGAGATTTTGGACAATTTCATGCTCCCAACTTTGTGGGAACAGTTTGGGGACGGCCCCTTCCTGTTCCAACATGACCACCAGTTCACACACAGATCACCAGTGCACAAAGCAAGGTCCATAAAAAAATAGATGAGCGAGTTTGGTGTGGAAGAACTTGACCGGCCTGCACAGAGTCCTGACCTCAACCCGATAGAACACCTTTGGGATGAATTAGAGTGGAGACTGCGAGCCAGGCCTTCTCGTCCAACATCAGTGTCTGACCTCACAAATGCGCTTCTGGAAGAATGGTCAAAATTCCCATAAACACATTCCTAAACCTCGTGGAAAGCCTCCCCAGAAGAGTTGAAGCTGTTATAGCTGCAAAGGGTGGGCTGACATCATATTAAACCCTATGGATTAAGAATGGGTGTCAGTCAAGTTCACATGCGTGTGAAGGCAGACGAGCTAATACTTTTGGTAATATAGTGTAATTTGCATTGTGAGTGTATGTGTAATGTGTATTATGTATAAATCTATGCAGCTATGCTTTTATGATTGCTCGTTTTGTTGATTTTACATGTGTGTGTTTCTATTTTGTTTATTTTATTTTAATTTATCTGTGCTCAGCATTCTTAGATTATTCTTCAAAGGTTGCCTTTAATTTAACCTTAGCCTGTTTTTCACCTAAATACATAACTTTGCCTTCAATTCTATCCAGTTCTTCTCCACTGTATGACATTGGAACATCAAGAAACCCCTTCCACCACATAATAAACTGGTAGGTGATTATTGATCCATTTTTTAACTTTACAGCCAAAAATTTAAGCATATATAACTGTTATAGACTGAAACTTTCATGAGGCTGAAAATATTCTTATGTTCAGCATTAGAATATCTTAGAATGGAAACATAAAATATAAAATATTAAACATAAAACATAAAAAATATCAAATTCTAGAAAAAGGTTAAAACAAATTCAGAAAATTGTTTCATATCAGTTACTTATTTAGACATTCATCTGAATAAAATGTTAAAATATAAACTTTTCAATGAATGTAAATGTTAATACAATTCTGGATGAATTCTGTTTATAAAATTAATGATATTAGGTTGGGATCAAAGTTTGAGTTTGAGATCACAAACAATGAGCTTTTAATTTTATTATTATTATTTTTTTTTGGCAAAAGTATTTTTACTGTAAATCTATTCGCATGACCCTAAAAATTCTCTGGAATATACTTCCTTCTGTCCACTAACTCATAAACACATTACACTGCCTGTAACTGGCTCTTACTCTTTGCACATAAGTCTGTCAGGTTTGAATCACAAAGATGCATTTAATACATTTGTTTGGTTTATTGGGACATTTCGAAAAGACACCCTAAAGCAGCATTTTTGAGTGCCAACCCTGTCGTCCAGCTGCACCTGCAAAGGTTCATGTTTTCCCATACCTGCATAGATCAAATAATCAATGATAAGTCAATAATCTGTTAGTTAAACAAGACCTTCATGAGCTGAAATCGTGCAGTGCAGGTTGACCACAGGACTGAAGCTCAGAAACACAGCCGTAAAGTGTTAATACAATAAAAATTGTTCTATTTAGAGTAAAAAAATTAAGACTATATATTCAATACTTCTGTTTCTTGTGGATACATAGAAATAAAAAAACAAACAAAAATGTGTTAAGACACATAAAGATAGCATGAAGGTGGGACAAAAATAGGTCAGAGCTGGGGCCTGGTAGGTCTTACTAAAGAAAGATGTCATGTCAAAAGATATGTAGTTATCAATGCTTGCACATATAAGTGGTTTAAACAAACTCATTTCACATTTATATTGCATTTTGCAAATGTTTTTATGCATAGCGAAATTTTGATCATTTTACAGCAGTACTGCACTGGAAATAATCTGCTGATTGTTAGGGTGTTCTTTTTTCTACTCTGAACACAGCTTTGTTTTTGAGGAATTGGTCCTGAAAATTTTGCCTAATAAAATAAGTTTGAGTGCTTTTCTAAACCACATATAGAAAAATGCATATATAATAGGATTACAAGCTGAATTTGAATAAGCAATCCAACAAAGTGCATCAAACAGTTGTGGTGGACCACTAAAACCAAAAAATAACACAATAAAATTATAGATGGAAAATGGTGCCCAAAATAAAATAAAGCCTCCAATGACAATGGCTAATGTTTTAGTTGCTTTTCTCTCTGTCTTATTAACAGTGGGCTGACCTCTGGATTTACTTACTTGAGAGAGAGTATTGCTGACTAATCGTGATTGCCTCTGTGCAACAAGATATATTTTCAAATATATGCTTAACATGACAACAATTGGAAAGTACAAAGAAACCAATGAAACTGCTAAACTTATCATGGGCCCTGTAACCACCACACAGGCTCCCTCACAAAACACATCACTGTAAGCTTCTATGCCTTCAACATTTAGCTCTGGATATGTAGTTCCCACAACAGCAGCAACACTCCAACAAACAGCGATCATGAACAGTGTAGTAAGAGGAGTCATTTTACTGTGGTATTGCAGGGGGTGACATACTGCATAATATCGCTCAACTGAGATAAATACGAGGTTTAATAGAGAAGCATTACACAACATAACATTAAGGCTGGTGTGTATTTTACAAAATAAGTTTCCCAAATACCAGCAAGTCTCCACAGAGCGTATCATGCTAGGAGGCATCACAAGCCCTCCCACAAGCAGGTCAGCTACAGCCAGAGAGAGAGTGAGGTAGTTAGTTGGTGTGTGCAGCTGCTTGAAATGAGTTATGGCTATGATCACCAGAAGATTTCCAAATAGTGTAAGAAGCACAATGACACCAATGGCAAAATAAGACACAATTCTCACAGCCAGTGGATAGACACTCTGCTGACAAGAGTTAGGATGATGTTCAAAACAAAGAGAAGTATTTCCTGTGCTCCCATTTTGGCTTACAGTAATATCCATCATGCTTTTCATTTTTCTGTAAAGAAATTTCATATAAAAAAGGGGATATAATCACTGAAAATGAAATAATTTTTATGACAGCAATAAAAGGAAAAAATCTCCAAATGATCTGTTATAAATAGCACAAAATCATTTTAATACTCTTGAAAAATCTATTTTGTAAATGTTGTTTTTTCTTTAGAAATTCAAACTCAAACGGTTTAACAAGAATATTTTGTAACCATGCTATAATTAAGAACAGATCAAAAACAAATCAGTATGCGTTTCATTTCCAGCTTTACCTCTGCCTCCAGAGATGGGTGGGCAAAGGCAGCACTGACAAACAAGAGGCATTCATTTATAGGCTTACAGGCCTGTATCAAGAGCATTCTCGTGCTAAATCACTCCCCTTTCCTGATCCCTTGATACCTGACAAATAACAAACCATGATTCAAAATGAGTTCATCACTAATTTAGCACATTTCTGCCTTTTTTTGGTGGAAGTGGCTATGAATCTGTGTGAGTCTCTGGGAGTCAGTATTAGTGGATAATTCATACGGAACTGAGTCAAAGGATAATGCAAACACTATTGGCATTTGATAAGTTGTACTACCAATTGGGTATTGATAATTTTTCACACTAACCCAAAACACTTGTGGTTGCACTTCGGATTTATTGTGGACTAATTTTCAGGAGAGGCGTGGTAAAGCAGGTAGGGATTGACTGATAAATTCTACACATGACTTACCATAAGAAACACATTTTGCTTGGTTATTTTGTTACAGTCATTGTGCAACAGACATGTATTTTGTGTCAGTTATTTTTTTTATATATATTTTCATGATGTATTTGTAATATATACTGTGACATAGGTGCTCTTTATACGATTAGTCCTCAATGCTCTCTGTCATCAAAAGATAGAACCTTATCTGCAGTGGGAGCCGAACTTGGACAGAGATGGTGACTAGAAACAGGATGGAGACTGTGAAAGGGACTTGGCTTGGTGATGATGACGAGGACTAAGGTGGAGACAGTGATAGGAACCAGAGACTTATACAGGGGCAGGAGCAGGATCTAGACTGAAGCCAGGGGCTGGATCAGGGTTGAATGCTGAGAGTAGAACCTGATTAGATGCCCGAACCACCTCAACTGGCTCCTCTTAATGTGGAGTAGCAGCTCTACTCTCAGCTCCTCCCAGATGACCAAGCTCCTCACCCTATCAAGCAGAGTGTAGCCCGTCACCCTGTGAAGAAAGCTCATTTCCGCCACTTGTATTTGAAATCTCATTCTTTGCGTCGTTACCCACAGCTCATGACCATAGGTGGGGGTTGGGATGTAGACCGACCGGTAAACAGAGAGCTTTGCCTTATGGCTCAGCTCCCTCTTCACCAGTACAGCCCGGTACAGTGACAGCAGCATTACTGCTCCCGCATGTCCCAGTCTGCGGCCAATCTCACAGCCCCTCCTCCCATCACTTGTGAACAAGACCCCGAGATACTTAAACTCCGCCTGGGACCTTACCTGGAGTGGGCATGCCATCCTTTTCTGGGCTAGAACCATGGACTCATTCTTGGAGAAGCTGATCTGCACACCAACTGCTTCACACTCAGCTTCAAATAGCAGAGATGCCACCCTCTGGCCTCCTCTTGTAGTTCAGAGACTGAATGGCCCAGAGTAGTAGCCTTGGCACTACTCTGGGCCATTGAAAAGCTAGTCCAGGGTTCCATGGCCAAGACAGAATCCGCATTGTTCCTCCTCAATCTGAGGTTCAACTATCGGTCAGAGTCTCCTTTCCAGCACCTTGACATGAACTTTCCCAGGGAGGCTCAGCAGTGTAATACCCCAGTAGATGTCACACACCTTCCGGCCCCATTTCTTAAAAATAAGGACCACCCCATCTGCCAGTCCAAGGGTACTGTTCCTGGCGTCCATGCGACATTGCAGAGGCGTGTCTGCCATGACAGCCTCATAACATCCAGAGCCTTAAGCATTTCTGGGTGAATCTCATCCACCCCCAGTGCCTTGCCACTGGGGAGCTTGCCAACTACCTCAGTGATCTCCATCAGGGAAATGGAGCCTGACAGGCCAGAGGCCTCTGGCCCTGACTGCTGTGAGAGAGGCATGTTTCTTGGATTAAGGAGTTCCTCAAAGTGCTCCTTCCACCGACCGTCAATATCCTCATTTCAAGTCAGAGTTTCTCCACCCCTGCCAAATACAGCTTGGGCAAAGCAACCCCGACCACTCCAGAGTCACCAGAAAGTTGACCAGAACCTCATTGATGCAGACTGAAAGTCTTTTTCCTTGGCCTCGCCAAACTCCTTACACTCCGTGGATTTTGCTTCTGCTGTAGCTGCTGCTGCTGCCTTTTTTGCCTGTCGTCACCTATCTGCTGAATCAGGAGTCCCCCGGGCCATCCAGTCCCTAAAGGCCTCTTTCTTCAGCTTGACGGCCTCCCTAACCACCACCCGATTCAGGAAGGGATGTTAGTCTTTATTAAATCATAAAAGTGTTTTATACACAAGTTAATAATTGCAATGGTGAGTTTTCATTGTCGTTCAAGTGCTGGTGTATGTGAATAGGTATTTTTAGACTTTAACTACAAGCTTTCAGGAGTTTGCATGTTCTCCCCGTGTCTGCGTGGGTTTCCTCCGGATACTCCGGTTTCCTCCCACAGTCCAAAAACGCAGTCAGGCTGATTGGACATGCTGAATTGCCCCTAGGTGTGAGTGACTGTGTATGTCTGTCTGCCCTGCGATGGACTGGCTACCTGTCCAGGGTGTATCCTGCCTTCCGCCCAATGACAGCTGGAATAGGCTCCAGCACCCCACCGCGACCCAGAAGGATAAGCGGTTTAGATGATGTATGTATGTATGTATGTATGTACAAGCTTTCAGCAGCAGTGTTACTCAAAAACTTCACTGCACTTTTGGTTCATTCCACTGCTGTGGCCTATGGCAAAAGTAGGGAAAACTGAAATGGAATGTTGTACTTATTTCAGCAGTCAGCGCAACATTGCTGTGACGATCAAACTCAAGACCCTTATGTTAAAAGTCGGGAGTGCAACAGGAAGAACCACCTAGTGGACACTAAAGGACAGCCTCAAGTGCAGAGCAACTGAAAGTAGGGAGAAAGGTGCAACTTGGAAAAGACACAAAAGGGGCTAAGAGCTGGGAAATTAAATTAGACAACGAATGAATTAAAAAGGGAATGCTGTAAACAAGGAAAGTAACTGGTCACGGGAGGGACTGAATCCTCAATTACTGTTTTGTCAGTCTAACATGCTATACATCATGCCACCAATTGGGAATAATGGTCATGCTAACTAAAGACTTGAAAGAATGACCTAAACTGAGAGCTCCCCAAAACTGAAACCAAAACTCTCCTGTAATTCGAGACAGATACAGAGATTACCAGCTGAGTAAGAGCAATGTGCTCATAGCAGTATGAACACAAGACTGAGCACCAAGCAGTGTGTCAGCACAGCCGCGGTGGGTGCCCACAGCTGCTACCGCTCAGTACTAATTACTCAGTCCTAGCTCTCCGGCCCCTCCTAGAAGCTGGAGGTGGCCTAGCAGGCTGCCTGGATGTTACAGTAACCCCCCTCCTAGAAACAGCTCCTGTCGTTCCCAAACCAGCCTCTTGGTCCCTCCTGAAGGCTCTAATGAGCTCCGGGTCCAAGATGTGCCTGGCCGGTAGCCAACATCGCTCTTCCGGCCCATACCCCTCCCAGTCTACTAGGTACTGGGTCCTAGCCCGTATGTGATGGGAATCCAGTAACCAGTTGCTGCACAGTATAAGTTGAGGACCTGGCAATTATCTGTGGTGGTGGAGGGACAAAGGCAGAGTTAAGGGGGCTACAGAGGACTGGTTTCAGTCTTGAGATTGTGGATTTATGTGGTTTATCCACATAGCTTGGGTAAGGAGGAGCCAATAAGTCACTAGATTCAGCCGTTTCACCACATTGAAAGGTCCCAAAGAAGCTGTGCTTGGAAGATTGACTTCTCCAGCTTTACATAGAGGTGGTTCCCAAGTAAGAGCTGGAGTATCCGGCGAACGTGAACTACGTGCTTGTCTACCAAATAACTGTAGATAAGGTTGTTGTCTTGGTAGTGGTCAAAAGTCTCACCAATGGCCTCGTTTATGAAGTGCTGAAAGACAGCAAGAGCATTCATCAACCTGAACGGCATATTCGTAATGGCCAAAGTGCGTCATAAAAGCTTTCACTTGTCTCCCTGGCGAACTCAAATTACATTATAGCCACGTGCAGGTCCAACTTAGTGAAGATGGATGCCTGCTGCAGTGCCTCAAAGGCCGAGGTCCGGACCCTTACTTCCCGCGTCTGGCAGCCCCAATTATTTTAGAATAGATGACATATATTTTTAATCTCTATGTTTTAAAGTAGGTGAGGTGGCAGATGTAAATAACTACAGACCAATCTCAAAATTTTCCTGTTTAGCTAAAATTTTAGAATTTCTAGTAAATAGTCAACTTAAATCATTTCTATATGAAAATTCTGTCCTGTTTAATTATCAGTCTGGCTTTAAAGAAAGACACAGCACCATCTCTGCTACCACACTGGTTTTGAATGATCTTTATATGGCCATAGACAGGAAGAAACATTGTGCTGCCATTTCTATTGATTTATCAAAGGCTTTTGATATAGTTCATCACACTCTTCTTTTAAGGAACTTACAAAAGATTGGTTTTGATACAAATGCACTAAATTGGACCCATAATTACCATTTAGACAGACAACAATGCATAGCACTGAATAATTACAAATCAATTTTTTGACTATATCCAAAGGAGTGCCACAAGGTTCAATTATGGGCCCAGTTTTATTCAATATATGTATTAATGAACTTCCTGCCTCTGCCTCAGACTGGAAAGTACACCTGTATGCAGATGACATGGCTTTATACTGTTAAGCTGACTCTGTTTATGCTGCAATAAGAAAACTGCAATGCTCATTTAATGCCCTACAGGTTGCTTGTATAAACACAAACTGGTTTTAAATGCTAAGAAAACTCAGTTCATGCTGTTTTCCAGATCTACTAATACTGATTTTAATACTGTAAATATCACTACCCTGACAGGATCCAACATTGAAAGAGTCACAGAGTAAAAAATACCTTAATAAACTCACTTTTAAACCCCATATTAATAAATTGGTTGGCAAATGTAGACAGAAGCTGGTTATCTATATAGAGATAAATCCTGTTTCCTTACCATCTGTCATGGACTACGGTGATGTAATTTACAAACATGCATCTGCCAGTTCCCTCAAACCACTGGAGTCTATCACTCTGCACTCAGGTTCTTTACTGGAGACCCTTATAACACTCAACACTGCAGACTGTATGAAAAAGATGGGTGTCCCTCACTAGCAGCACGGCAGGAAACACATTGGTTTATTTTTATTTATTAAACACTTTTCGGCTATATGCCAGCAAATATTTCTTCAATGGGGTCTGTAAATAATGGTACTTATCAGACTCGCTCCAGTGGTTGGATCACTTGCCAAGTACCAAGAGTTTTTACTGAACTGGGAAAATTTGTGTTTAGTTACATTGCACCAGCGAACTGGACCCTCACTACAGGAAACACTAAAGCTCAGCTTGCTGGGTCACTCAGTCATTTTATACTTTTACTCTCTAACCACCTCCACTCTGCCTGCACCTGTTTTACCTGATTTTTTACTATTATTGTCTTATTTTCATTATTTTCCATTTATTTATTTGTTTAATTATTATTATTTATATTCTTATTCCTGTTTTAATTATGATTATTTTATTATTATTTTAGTCATTTTTATTAATTTTTAGTTTCCTTTTGATCTTATCCTTGTTTTGTTTTGTTTATCTTCTTTTGATTTCATTAACTTTCACATTTTAGCTACATTTGAATTATTGCTTTATATTTTCTACTATAGTTTAATGTATTTTTATTATTAAGGTTTCATTTTTTTATAGTTACTTGATTTGAGCCATTTCTTATTACATTTACTTTTATTATTTGATATGTTCTTACACCCTCCTAGTGGGCACTTGTGTGTAAACAGGTTAAGAAGATACACAGAGGAATTAAAAGAATTAAAAGAATCAAAATTAAAAGATCCATACAAAATCATAGACCCACTACCCCACTTCAAAGGTTTTCTCTGTATGACTTTGACTCAACCTGTATGATCCTCCTCTTTTGTGTGGCTGATAAAATATGTGTTTTGGACTCTGAGCAGAGGCTTCTGTCTGGCAGGCTTTCTAATCAGCATGGTGGTGTAAGGGTAGCATCTTAGCTTTTAGCTTTAAAGTCTTGGTGACCCAAAATGCATTTAATGCAACTGTCCAAATGTGATATTTGAAGAAGGTTCTACCTCCTGTTCCATCCTTCTCACTGTGCATAAACTAAGCTGCCAGTCTAGAAGACGGACCTATCTAAGAGTGGGTTGTGCCTACTTTCGCCTTCAGAAGAGCATGATTTTATCTGGGCTTGGTCTCTCCAAGATGCTGGATGTGTTGGACCCCAAAGGCGCACAATTAATGACATGAACATATGCCCACAATAGACTAACGCTGCTCTTAAATTTGGCCAAGATAAAATAATTAAACCATCCTTTCTAACCTGTGAGAGCACAGACTGTTCAAAAGTGGTTATGAATTGTGCTGTTCACTCTGACTCGTGATTCAGTTATCAGAGTAATCCGGTTTTTATTTTTCCTTTTGTCCTTTCGAAATTATCAGTGCAACCCAGTTGCACTGTCATATAATTCCCTGATATATCATCCTTAATTTGTGTTTCAGTGATCTTGTCATTATGATGCATGCTAATAATTAAGTTTTTCTTTCTTCTTGACCTGAATCAGTATAAGAACATCAAAATATGTGTACAGCAAGTGAACTAAGGACTCTGAGAAAAGGTGATGTAAAGTATTCAAACAATCGTAAATATATTGCATAAGAAATGTAAAAATCTACTTTGAGTCAATATTAATTGAATACTTTTCTGTTACAGTGGATGCAAAAAAGAACATCAAGTGTTAAACAGTCATATCACACACACCATGGTGAAGTAAGCTTATCTCATACCTTAGAGTCTCTCAGCTGTTGTTAAAGGAAGATGAGGTGTCAGAATGATATATATGTATTGTATGTATCCCATATAAGTAAGTACTGTGCTAGAAATAATTATTGAGTCAGTTAAAGTTTGAGGATTGTGCTTTACTTCATATGACAGTGGTGGGTAGATACAAAGAGAGCACTGAAACTGACAAACTTATCATGGGCCCTAGAAGCATCACACAGCCCCCTTACATAAAACATTACTGTAAGCTTCTCAGCTCAGAATATGTTAATTCACTAAATATGGATTTGCTGTTATCATTACCATTTGCTACACTGGTGTACTGGGGTTGTATGGCAGGGACCCTTTCATTTACTGTTCTGGTTGTAGTTCAGATTCTAAAAGATGACAGTGTAAAGAATTTTTTGAGCAAATTCAGATGTGTTAGAGCAGGAGAGCTATACAGCTCACAGCTGCAATGTATTAAAACAGCAATAGAAATAATGCACAAAACACTGGATAATGTCTACACTAAAATACATTGCATCATTACACAGTATGAATGCTTAAAAGAAAAGAAATTCAAGGTTTATGAGTTATGTATGTTTATGTGTTATACATTTTTGACACTCTTATCCCTCACATGTCAGTAAGTGAAACATTGCTGAGCACTGCTTCAGTCCATGTGTGCAGTGATATTTTGGAAGTAATCATTATGAGTCAGTTCTGTTGATTTTTGTTGATGGTGCTTTATTGCTTTGTGCTACTCTGAACACAGCTGTATTCTGGAAGAGTTTCTCCTAAATATTTGACCTAATAGAATAACTTTGAGTGCCTTTCTAAACCACTTGTAAAAGAATGCATATATAATAGGATTACAAGCTGAATTTGAATAAGCAATCCAACAAAGCACATCATACAGTTGTGGTGGACCATTAAAACCAGAAAATGTCACAACAAGATTACACAGAGAAAGAGGTGCCCAAAATAATAAAAACCCTCCCATGACAATGACTAATGTTTTAGTTGCTTTTCTCTGTGCCTTACTAACGGCAGGCTGCCCTCTGGATTTATTTACTTGAGAGACAGTATTGAGGACTAATCGTGATTGCCTCCTTGCAACAAGGTATATTTTCAGATATATGCTTAGCATGATAATGGTAGGGATGTACAAAAAGATCACAGAAGCTGATAAACTTATCACAGGTCCTATAAGCAACACACAGGCTCCCTTACATATATAACCACTGTAAACTTTCATGCCCAGATTATTTATCTCTGGATACATAATGCCCTCAGCAACAGCAAGACCCCAGCAAACAGTGATCATGAACAGAGTGGTAAGAGGAGTCATTTTACTGTGGTACAGCAGGGGGTGACATACTGCATAATATCGCTCAACAGAGATAAATACAAGATTTAAAATAGACGCAGTGCACAATATAATGCCAAAGCTCCTGTGTATTTTGCAGAATAAACTCCCAAAATACCAGCAAGTCTCCACAGAGTGTATTACACTAGGAGGCATCACAACCAATCCTACAAGCAGGTCCGCTACAGCCAGAGAGAGAGTGAGGTAGTTAGTTGGTGTGTGCAGCTGCTTGAAATGAGTTATGGCTATGATCACCAGAAGATTTCCAAACAATGTGAGAAGTACAATAACACAAAAAATAAGAAACATAATATATCGCACAGCCAGTGGATAGATGAACTTCTGACAGGAGTTAGGATGATGTTCATAACAAAGAGAAATGTTTCTTATGCTCCCATTTTGAATTATGCTCATGTCCATTATGCATTTTCTGTAAAGAAATATGCCTTTAAGAAGTGCTTTCATTAAAATCCATAATTAAAGGCAGTAATTAATTAAACATTGATAAAAATCACTCATTTGAAATAACACAAAAGGTTAAAATGATAATTTTAAAGAACAGATTAAAAAACAAGCACATATTCAGTATTTTCTCTATTTTTATCTGTGTTTAATGTCTTCAGTATCAAGGCTTACCAGTGCTCATATGGGGGGGGCAAAGCCAGCTCTGACGAATGAGCAGCTTTTATTTATAGGCTGACAGACCTGCATCAGGAACGCCCTTCTGCTAAATCACTCCTATTTCCTGATCCCTTAATAATCTATGTGATAGTTACTAAATACAACTCAAAGTAAGTTCACACTGACAGATGTCAAGCTATAAACTGATGGTGGTACATAAAAGGTTTTTCAAACTCTAATTACTGCACACTGTAGTGCTGTACTGCACTGTAAATATTACAAAGCCAAGAAAATAGGAAGAGAAATGTGTGTTACTGAAATATGTATAAGCAATATGACATCACTACACTAGAAACAGCAAGTACACAATTACTTTTTTTTTTAGGAATTTTAGTAACACCTGCAATATTCAGTAATTCAGCAATATTATTACTGCATGGTAACTATACTGTATTTCTAAAATTATATGGACAACAAAAAAGAACGTTTGTGAGGCCGGGCACTGATGTTGGTCACAAAGGCCTGGCTGTTTGGTGTTTTTGAAGATAGGGCATTCCTCCACAACAAACTTGTCAAATCATGTCTTCATGGCACTCACTTTGTGTACAGGGTCACAGTCATGCTAGAACAGGAAAGGGCTTCCCTAAGCTGTCACCATAAAACATAATTGCTTTCGTGCACCTGTTATCAAAGGATGTGGCTGAAACACCTGAACTAAATAATTGGAGGAGTGATCACATACTTTTAGTGTTTTTAAAATACGTCTTCTGGCCAAGCTTTCAAAGCAGACCCAGGACTGTTTCTCAACATTTAGAGGCACTAACTGAGTTTTTTATTTAAGCAATGTTAAATCCAGCTTGAAAAGTGCAAAGTTGACACCCCCTGGCAGCTTGTCAGCCCTACGTGACTCTTCACACCATTTATAACAAGACACAAGCCTGGGTGGACCTATCAATTAGCATGAAATTAATTTTTTTGCATGCACTGAACATTCTCAGAAGAAAAGGTACTGAACTGTCAATGGGGTTGGTACTTCTTCAGTACCTCTGTTCCCTAACGTAATTTTCCCTTATTATGTTTCAGTTATATATTTATGTTAATTGTCTTTGTATTAATTGTCTACAGTTTTTATTGACTCCAGGCACTTTTTTAACCAAATACATCCCTTTCCTCTTAAGAATACTGTTGTATCTTTATGGTTAAATTTCCATTGTTTGTACCTTGGTGAACAAAAATGTACCTGTACATATTTTTCTTCAACAGTGTAATATAGACAGCTCGTGACATTTGTTTGCCATGTTTTATTTAAAATTGATCAAATGCAAATAAACAGTACACAATGAATATGTAACCATTGACTGTATGTAAATACAACACTTACAAATGTATTAATTAGAGACTCAGTGTCATTATCTTGATAGTTCACCTCATATTTGCAAATCATTTGCTTAACAGTATATTTGACATACAAGAACGATTGGCATATGTCCAGAATAAGTGAGCAATAAATTGTTCATTCTATGGTCTGGGACAAACATAGGTTAAGCAGCATCACTGCTACAGGTTGAAGAGCTAGGCCACACACACACACATTCAGTGTGTCTCAAAACCTAGTGAGCTCTCTACATAGACAGCATTTTACGTCACTATATGCACGCTCCTGAAAAGTAGGCTGTCCCAATTCTTAGATACCTCAAATATGCTGCCTACTAAGGTATCTCATTTTGGCCGAATATTGAGAGAGCATCGGATGTTTCTTCAGCCGCTAAGACAATCCCGCGATGCAACGCAGCGCAACTTTCATTGCAAGATGGCGGACGGAAGCAATGTGGCAAGCGGTGAAGTCATCTTTAAATGTAAGTTATTCTGATTTTCTGCGGAATTTTATTTGTTTTCTGGTCATAAATCTGCATAAATAGCCAATTTTTGCTATTTATGTCCATCATTGATCATTTTCCAGTTTTCGGAACACCAAGTCGTTAGCATGCATGCTAGCAGATTTTGAAGCATCAGGCTATTGTTTTCAGTAGCCAGCTGGCTAACAAACTCGCTGGCTAATAACCACGCTGGCTAACAACTTACCAGGAGGTTTTGTCAAACATTAACGAAGAGGTAGTGCTATCTAATCATTGATCCGTTTGTGTGTCTTGAAAAATTTGGTAGAATTATGGGGGTTATATGGTGTTTTTTGTAACTTACTAGCTAACCAGCTATTTAGTTCTCCTTTTCAGGGACCAGATCAGCGCTTGAAGCATTTATTAAGGCTCATATAGAGAAAGAGAGGCTGTTCACCAGGCAGAAAAACTCTGCGTTGTCAGCTTGGAAGTAAGAAAGTTAGGGTGTTGGTTCACCAGTTAGATCAGGCTTGTCCAATCTTATCCGCAAAGGGCAGCTGTAGCTGCAGGTTTTCATTGCAAACATGTAGGAGCTCACCTGATTCCCCTTAATCAGGGCAAACAAATAAATCATGAAAACCTGCAGCAGCGAGTCTTTGCAGAAACGATTGGACATGAATGAGATAGTCATGCATGTTTTAAACTTTTTTTTTAACAGTATGTAAAAGTAAGTGATTTGCTTGTGTGGTAATGCATCTTCCTAAACTGGATAAAACTTTAGTTGGAAAATGTTGAATCTTTTAATCTATTTACCTAGTCTCAAAAATAAAACTACTAATTTGATTTTGTTTGCTTGTTGATAGGACTATCTTTTTGGAACTGGGGCTACAGCAGAAAGTGACTCCTCAACAAGCCCTTAAAAAATGGGACAATTTAAAGAAGAAATACAAGGTAAGTTCTAAGACAGAGTTGCAGTACATATTTGAATAGATTTATCTATTTCAAACATTTGTGTATTTCAAACCTAATTCAAATATTAAAGTATTCTTAAGTATAATTCAGCTAGGCAAAAGAAAGCAGAGTGAGATCAGATTACAGGTTTGCATTTATTTTAGGAACTGAAATGTCCACCATCTGGAAGTGGTTCAGCCTCATCGACGAGGCTCTTGGTAAACGCCCCTCGATTTCACCACCTCTGCTAATAGCCTCGTCAGATGAGGCGGAACCAGGGCCATCTGCTGCTGTGGCTTCCCCATTGTCTGAGGAAAGATAAAGGAAGAAGCAGGGAACCGACCTCTTGCGAGAGGACATGGAGAGGGTGAGGGAAAGAGAAGAGAGGAGAGAGCGAGCGGAGCAGGAGCGGTCTGACTGCTTGTACGGCCTTGTTGAGAAACTTATTAGCAGAATTAACTAATGCATTTTAAAAATAAAGCTTATTTTATGGAATAATTCTGGATATTTTTTTACAGAAAAAGAAAAGTAATGCATAAAGAAATCATAATAGACTTTCTCTTTGGATGAATTAATTTATTCTTTATTGATGACCCCATTGGAAACCCATTCTTGTCCTTAAGAATTCTTCATGATATACCTTTCACAAATTTAAACTTATAGACTGTTCAATCATTAAGGTCAGTTCTTTATTTTATAGTATCTTGACGTCTTCCTTTAATGAAGGGCATTTTTGTTGTAAAATCATTTAGAACTGTTTTTACAGTGCAATCACAATAACAAAACAATAATTTAACATGAGCTCTTAAGTAAGATAAACTATAATAAAGGTCTTTTTGGGGTGAGATTTAGCAAAATGAATACTGACCTACACTTTTTTTACTCACTGCAAAAAGAATCATCCTAAAACTTTCTTATTTTGAGATTGAAAAGAAACAATTAACTTACACATTTTTACGTTTTAAGCGATTTTAATTGACACTTCGACGACACATAAATTGCCTAACAAGTAAAAATGTATAGAATATTATTTACCTTCTAACAACAATCAAAACTAGAATTATATGTTTAGACTAGATTTATGATGTCACTTTCAAAGATATTTTTCTCAGTGCTAATATAACATTTGAAAATGTGAATTAACTAATTAAACTCTTTCAGTTCCTGGACCATCAGTACATGTCAGCGATGGCAGCGCAAAGCTGCTCCCGTAGATGATGACCACTGACTGCTTCTGTGATGTCTTCCTCCTGCCCATCCTCTTCCTCTTCTCCATCTGCTTCCTCCTCAGGCTGCACAAGGTCTCCTGCTCCTATGCAGATGTTGTGCACGGTGACACAGGACGCAATCACTTGTGGCACAAACTGCGGGTGTACGTCGAGGGCTTGCAGGAAGATGGACCTCCACCTGGTCTTCAGCACCCCAAAGGCACATTCAATTACAGAACGTGCTTGTGCATGATGCCTGTTGAAGGTTACCCGCTCTGCTCCTCTTACAGGCTTTTTAAAAGGGGTTATGATGGCAATGGGATGTGCGATGTAGGGATATCCCCCATCACTAAGGATCATGAAGCCTCTGGGTGGGAATGCTGCCTGCTGATAGAGAGTACTGTGGCGAAGGATTGCATCATGCACAGATCCAGGAAAGCCTATAAAAACATCCAGAAACTTTGTCTGATTATCGCATACGGCCTGGATTTACACAGATGGGTTGCACAGATGGGAAACTTCCGGTTTCGGTAGCACTGTGCATCAGGTTCTCCTGGAGCTTTAATTCGTACATGGCAGCCATCTATAGCGCCGACTACACATTGTAAAGCTGCATGATTTCCCAGTCTCACAAAACCTTGAGAGATCCTCTGTAATTCTTCATTTTTTGGATGCTGAACCACTTTTGGGAGAATTTGCCTCATTTCATTGGCCACCCAGTGAATTACACGATGGACAGTGGAACGGGGCATTGAAAATACACGGGACACAACACAGTAGGATGTGCCACAAACCAGCCAAAACAAGAAAACTGCTATTTCAATGCTTGACCCCCAGCCATGAGTGCTCTCGTGGTGGACCAGCTGATGAAGTACTTTCAGGAATTCCCTCTTTTCCAGTAGTGTTTGGCTCAGGGGACTAGAATGAAGTTTTATACTGTATCATAGAAATTGGTTTCAGTTATGATGAGTCAACCCACAATGCTTATGCCTCTAGGTTGATGAGAGCAGAAGGTTCCCTCTGGCCAAGTTTCTAAAACGTGTGGTGGCCTTAAGGTAGCATCTTAGCTTTTAGTTTTTAAGGCCTGGTGACCCAAAAATGCATCTCCTGCAATTGTCCAATTGTGATTCTTGAAGAAGGTTCTACCCTCTGATCCATCCTCATTACAGCAAAGATACAGCAGATGAAGCAGGCTTGAAGATTCTCACGGTGTGAGAAAGAAGAAGGGTAGGTTACACCATTAGGTAGGTTAAACCTCTGTTCCCAGAGATCTAAGGGACCATCTGTTAGCATAGGCCAATACTACTATAGCATATGGACATTCAGGTATAGAGTACACTACACAACATCACTCCCAACAATACTGCTGACCCACCTTGGCACAGTTTGATTTGCTCAAATCATGCAACACATGTGCAGCTATCAAAACCCCATGTTTAGTTTTTCTTTCTTATCCCCCAGTGAGCTTGGTCCTGTTTATGCATTGACTTTGTTACTGAACTGCCCCCCTCTGATGTTTTTACCAACATCCTGGCAGTTGCTCATTGTTTCCCTAAAGCATATAGGCTCGTGTTGCTCACCTGTCTCCCCTGAAGTGATCAATCAGATCTGCTGAAACTGTGGTCCTCTGGAGGGCATTATTACTGACTGGGTACCACCAGGCTGTGAAGCATTTTTATGGAAAAACTTCAAAAAACTGTTTTTTTAATATCTGGCCATCATCCACAATAATACCTGATAACAACCAGGAGCTTGGGGAGTCTTTTATTATCGAATGACCACTTGAGTGGGCTCACTACCTCCCTTGGGCTCTTTTCTCTTCTGCTGGAATCACATTCTTTTAGTACTTTTTAGGGTATCAGCTATCTTAGCTCAATGGAACCCCACAAAGAGGGAAGCACCAATGGTTAGCTTCAGAATGTTGAACAGGTTTGGCAAGAAATGCACAATCCTCCTGCAACCCGCCAGGCACAACAAATGCAGACTGTAGCTGCAGTTATGCTCCCAAGGTTTAACCTGGGGACTGCATTTGTATCTCCACCAGAAACTTCAACCACTGACTGCCAAGGGTACTGTTACACCTGAGACTCTTTGTCAGCTGCACCTGTCACCTATTAGTAGCCATTTGCTGTGTAAATACATTCATCATTTTCTCTCACTGACAGAATAAAACTGTTTCTTTTCTCACTGTTCATTTCCTCATGGTGTAACTTATGTCACTGTTGAATTTTCTCATGCAAAATTCTTGCAGCCTTCAGTTGCCCATGTACTATATGTATTTTGATTTTAAGCTGTCCTTCAGTGTATGACTGCACTATTCAAGAGACTCCTCCCACCACCACAGTGAACTGGCAAAATTACATTATATAATCAAAGAACTAAACAGTAACATACATTTAGACCTTTATTCCAGGACAAGCTTTCATTTTGGTCAAAACATTCTTGTGATCAACATCAGAAAATATCACAATGTCTGGAAAAGTTTTAAAAACATATTGATTATTGAATCTAAAAAATGTGAAACCTACAGTGATCACAACAATAAACTGTTTAAATTCTGCTTATAAAGTTAGTAAGTTTAGGTTGAGTTCAAAATAGATGTGTATGCTGAATGTTAAGATTCAATTTACTGTACTGTACTAACACTTCTGGAAACCTATAGTAAGCATACAATACAGGCTAGTGTTACTGCTTTGTTTTTGTTTTTTTCTGTACCCATTCTAACAAACTTGATTTAGCTCATGTTTTCCTGTATACTGTTTGCCAATCATTAAGCCCTTGCTGAGTTGTTAGAAAGGGTACAGGAAGAAACAAAACTGTTAAAAGTAACCTAAAAATAATGCATACACACTTTTCTCATGTAGCAGAGAGTGAGCCTTAGAAAATCAATACACAACTATAGGATTTAAACACTGTTCTGCTACAGGTGCAAGCAAAAAAAGAAAAGATGAGAACACAAGAAGGTAACAATCACGTGGTCTCACAACTCTTCTTAAAGGAAGATGGTGAATCCTCAGTTTATGTAATTACCAATGCCTGTACATATCCTTTATCAGGAGGTCAAAAAGTCTTAGAACACTGCTTAGGTTAATATTTGCAGTGTTGGATTAGAAACAACTATTTAAGTTCCAAGAGATCCATTCTTGAAGAACTGTTCCTAAATATTTTGCCTAATAATATAACTTTGAGTGCCTTTCTAAACCATCTGTAGAAGAATGCATATATAATAGGATTACAAGCTGAACTTGAATAACCAATCCAGCCAAGCACGTCAAACAGTTGTGGTGGACCAGAAAAACCTAAAACTGTCACAATTAAATTGTAGATGGAAAATGGTGCCCAAAATATTACAAATCCTCCCATTACAATGACTAATGTCTTAGTTGCTTTTCTCTCTGTCTTACTAACGGTAGGATTCTTTTCTTTTTGTCTTTTTCTGTCTTTGCTAATGGGCTGACCTCTGGAGACGGTTTGGAGGACTAAACGTGATTGTTTCTGTGCAACAAGATATATTTTCAGATATATATTTAGCATGATAATGGTGGGGAGATATAAAGAGAACACTGAAACTGACAAACTTATCATGGGCCCTATAACTACCACACAGGCCCCCTCGCATAAAACATTACTGTAATCTTCTATGCCCAGAACATTTAGTGCTGGATATAAAATTCCCACAGCTGCAGCAACACTCCAACAAACAGTGATCATGAACAGAGTGGTAAGAGGAGTCATTTTACTGTGGTACTGCAGGGGGTGACATACTGCATAATATCGCTCAATTGAGATAAATGCAAGATTTAAAACAGATGCAGTGCATAAAGTAATGTCAAGGCTGCTGTGTATTTTACAGAACGTGGTCCCCAAATACCAGCAAGTCTCCACAGAGCGTATCATGCTAGGAGGCATTACAGCCCCTCCCACAAGCAGGTCAGCTACAGCCAGAGAGAGAGTGAGGTAGTTAGTTGGTGTGTGCAGCTGCTTGAAATGAGTTATGGCTATGACCACCAGAAGATTTCCAAATAATGTAAGAAGTACAAGGACACTAATGGCAAAATAAGTCACAATTCTCACAGCCAGTGGATAGGTAAACTTCTGACAGGAGTTAGGATGATGTTCGTAACAAAGAGAAATGTTTCTTATGCTACAGTTTTGGTTCACACTCATGTCCATCCTGTTTTGACTATATCTGTAAAGAAATAAATCAAGATGTAACATTAGTTGTTATAAAATTCATTCATTGTAAATGTCATTCTTGGAGATTTTCCTCCTGAATTCTACATTTTATTAAAACATAAAAACACAAATGTTTTAAGAAGAATAATCCATGTGATGCTATAATTCAGAATAGTTGAACAACAAGCACACATTTATGATTATGTAATTTAATGTCAGACATCATTTTCAGTCTTACCTCTGTCTACACACAAGAGCAAAGCCAGCTCTGAGGAAAGACCAGGTTTCATTTATAGGCTTGCGGGCTTGTAGCAGTAACACCCTTCTGCTGATCCCTCTGTGTTGATCCCCTGATATTTTACATGACAGCTAACAAACTGTGGATCAAAACATATCGACCACTTGTTTTCTTTTTTTTCTTACACTTATTTGGTGTTCTAAATTCAACAAAAAATAAGTACTTCACAAGGATTGTGGTATATAAGAACTGTCCAACAAAAACAAAAAGAATATTAAATAAATGGAACCATTTATTTTATTTTATATTATGTATTTATTTAATTATTTTTATTATTTATTTTTATGTAAGTATTAAATTATTATTATTATTATGTATATTATTCATTTATTATTTATATTATATTATTTATTTTATAACACCTATACATTAATTTCGACTCAGACAAATCATGATTGCTGATTTCATTGTCTGACAAACTTTATATACACTTGAAGAGAAGAGGTCATAATGGCAACTGCATAAGAAAAGAACAAGAAGCTTAGCCACTCAGGGCTCTAATAACACCAGAAAACATGCAACCAGGCAGAAAGCATAAACAGGTATATGGACAGTAGTATAGCAACTATTAAATGTTCCATGGCAAAAAATAGGACAATCAGAAGCATTGCCACAGGACTGAAAACAAGGCCAGTACTGGAACACTGCAAGCAGGAATTCACCTTGATCAAACAAGTACATTTTAAGACCCAAAAATGTGTGAAAAATTAAGTTTCTTGCTGTCTCCTGCCAGTGATGGTTTTGAATTGGGTTCTAGCAATAGGAGTAAACATGATGATTGTGCCTGTAACACGTCTTACTCTTCCTTCCTTTGGTCAGCCCAGCCTTACTATCAGGTACACCTGACTCAAATCATGTGCAACTACAAAAACTCTGAAGAACTTCTAATGATTTTATCACAATCCTAGACTAATCTCACTTTTTTCTACACGGCCTTCCACTGAGGTGCTGTTCAGACTTCTGGAAGATATAGTTACAGACTGGAGGCTCCAGTTTAAATCCAGATTGTGGTGTAATTTAATGAATAAAACACAGATGTTGAAATGTAGAGTATGACTTTCCACAGGCTGATGGGCAGGCAGAGCATACCAGTAAAGAACTCTAGCAGTAACTTCTGATCTATTACCACAACAGATTAATATTGTTTCCTTGGGTTGCCTCAGCCTGCAACAGCAAAGGCAACACCAGTTGAGGTTACTAGTGGAGAGTACGTACAAAATTCCTTAAGACACTCTTCTGCCAGCATCACACCCTCCCGAAAACCAACCTGAAATGACAGAAAGCTTACAAATCATCTGCAAGCAGTCAGGTTTCACAAAGCACAACCAGGTAGTCAGTGCAGCGATCCTCCCAAGGTCGAGCCCAGATTTAATGTTTTGCTCTCCAGCAGGAACCCAGATCTCTGTCTGCCCTTTTGCAAGCTTAGTCTCCAGTTTGTATGTGCATTCAAAGCCATTTGGGGGATCGATCGGGTGACAATGTTCAATTCTGCTTTGCTTTTGTTTCACTTAGCTGTGGTTTCATGTCTCCCTCCCCAAGCTGGTAGTTCTTGAACTTTTGACTGATAAGGTGCCTTAATATGACCCTTCAATTCCAAACATGAAGAAATCTTTTATGACCCCCCTTCTATTCAATTCCTCCTGATCTCCCATCAGCAGAATAGTTTTTTTCTGCACATTATGGACTGGGGCACCCAGTATTTCAACCTAGGAGGCCCCTCGAGTTATGTCCCCAGACATCTAGAGCCATGAGCTTGTGTGGGGTGCTGCCTCTACTTAGCCTTTTCTTCCTCATGGCAGGGCTTCCAGTGCCCTCTAGTTACTAGCTGAGCCTCTATATCAGCTGCAAATGTTGCAAAAAAGTGGCCGTTTTGCTGTGCATAAATAATAGAGGTCTGTTGGTCAGGGTACGGAAATGAGGAGACAGGACTTATTCATTGGTGGGGGATTTAAGGGTGAGAAGACAGGACTGATTTATTGGTAGGTGTATGGGCATGATGAGACAGGACAGGTTCAATTGGTAGGGGTATGGGGATGAGGAGACAGGACAGGTTCTTTGGTAGGGATATGGGGATGAGGAGACAGGATTCGTTCTTTGGTTGGGGTATGAGTTTTTTTCTCTATTCTGGATGAATTCTGTTTATGAAATTATTTATATCAATAATATGATATCAGAGATCATAACTGGCTCCTTTTTACTAACTCAAATGCACATTCTACTACCTATAACTGGCTCTTACACGTTGCAGATAAGTCTGTCTGAATTCAGTCACAAAATTGAAGGGACATTTCTGAAAGACACCCTAGCACTGTTTATGAGCTCCAACTCTGGGGTCCAGCTGCAAGGTTTCATGTTTTCCCATACCTGCACACAGAGTTAATAATCTGTACTGAATCGGGTGTGTTAAAGCAACATTGGAAAACATCTGCAGAAAAAGGTAGATAGCAAGAGCAAAGGTGGGGTTGACTACAACACCAGTTTGGGCTCCCACTGGAGTAAGTCCAAAGGGGCAAAAGAGAAATGGGGCAAGTGAGTGAGGAAGCCACAGAGGCAACAGTAACCTGAAACACACAAATACTGAGACCTGTACAAAAAGTGGACATTGACCAAGAGACTTTCGGACCAAGTATACAGATACGTCCACCACTCAAAGAAAGTGATGATATTGAACATCATCTTACCATGTATGAATACATAGCTCAAGCTGCAAGATAGCCCAGAAAAAATTAGATGCTCCACTTGGTTCTGTTACTGGAAGGAAAATCCAAAGCAGCATATGCGGCCATGGACAATGAAGAAGTGTGCGACTATGACAGGGTGAAAGCAACAAAGTGTTTGAGGGAGGAACTCCTCATGAAATTTACACCACGAGAAATGGATGATGCCATGAGAGAAAACAAAGGAGGAGATCGGACAATCATTCTCGAACTCGAATCATCAGCTTGGTGATCCAAAATTACATCTCGTGCAATTGTCCAAAAGTGATGCTTGAAGAAAGTCCTACCTTCTGATCCACTCTTCTTACTGTGTACAGACCTATCTAAGAGTGTGCTGTGTCTAATTTTGTCCTTAGAAGAGCATAATTTCATCCCCAGCTTGGACTCTCCAAGATGCTGGATGTGTTGTGTCGAAATGTTATACCATGCTGAAATGATTGCATTGCTCAGTTGCTGCAAATGGATGGCAGAACAGTCTTCTGTAGACCTTTCCACACAATAGCCAAAGATGTACAATACATTACACAATAAACAGATGCTCACAATAGGCTAACATTTTAATTGGCCAACATAAAAGGACTAAGCCATCTTTTCCAACCTGCGAGAGCAGACTGTCCAAAAATGATGCTGCTCAAGAGACCAATCTGTCTCAAGATTAATTTATCAGAGTAAATTATATTTCTATGGCCAAAGGCCTAAACAGTAATAATTGTTTGTATATTTATTTGTAATTTTCTTGATATTCTGCACAAACACCAAGGAATATTAGAATGACGTGTAAAAAAGGTCTATAAAAGCATGCACTGCAAAAAATGATATCTTGTCAAGTGAAATTATCATAAATCTTGTTGATACATTTCTCTTGTTTTGAGATTGTTATACGCTTCTTTTATGATTATTTAGCTTATTTTGAGGCCTTGTTTTAAGTCATTTTAATGAGCCAATATAATGAGATCACTTGATTTAGTAAAATGGCTTAAAACAAGTAAAATGTCTAATCAGTTAAATAATCTCATAATAGGCTTACAACATTGTCAACATGAGAAATTCCAACTAGATTTAGGATAATTTCACTTGATAACATTTTTGCAGTGTGGAGTACATGTATGGAAAAAAATGTGGAGAACCTACAGAAATTCCAAGGCAATATATTCGCAGAGCAACTTCTCAGCTTGGTGGCATAATATGAGACCCAGTCACTGGATGGGAATTAGCGATGACTATACTGGGGAAATACCGGATAAATTAATACGGAGACTAAAAGTTGTTTGTAGAATATACACCATGGAATATGGAAATTCAGGCACTATGAAGACTGCATAATGCAAAGTGATGTAAATGATGCATTTTTACAAGTTTTACAACACTTTCTTAAATTAATGTAACATAGCTTTTCTTTTTATTTTATTTTTTTACAAAATTATCATTGTAATCCAGTTGCACTTGTCTATAACTACTAAACATAGCATCTTGTGTAGCAATTTGTACTTCAGTAGTCTTGTCATTATAGTGCATGCTAATTCTTGGCCTGAATCAGTATAATAACATGAACATACACTATATAGACAACAGAATTGGGACACCCCTCCTAATTATTGAATTCAGTTGTTTCAGCCACACTCATTGCTAACACGTGGATAATATTAAGCACATAGCCTTGCAGTCACAATAGAAAACACGAAGTAGAATGGGTCGCACTGATGACCTCAGTGATTTTAAATGTACCACTGTCATAGGGTGCCACCTCTGCAACAAAATAAGTATGTGAAATTTCTGTCCTAATAGATCTGCCCCTGTCAACTGTAAGTGCTATTACTGTGAAATGGAAGCATCTCGGAGCAACAACAGCTTAACCACAAAGTGGGAGAGCGCACAACCTCACAGAGTGGGGCTGCCGAGTGCTTAAGTGCACATTGTCTATTCTCTGTTAAATCATTCACTAACAAGTTCCAAATTGCCTCTCAAAGCAACATTAGCAGAAGACTTGTGCATTAGGAGCTTCACGAAATGGGTTTCCATGGCTGAGCATCAAAATTGACAATGCCAAACATCGAGGGAGAGTGGTGTAAAGCACACCACCACTGGACTCTGGAGCAGCAGAAATGCATTCTGTGGAGTGACAAATCACACTTCTCTATCTGTCAGTCTGATGGAATCTGGGTTTGGCGAATGCCAGGAGAACATTACCGGCAGCTGTGCCAACTGCAAAGGAGAGATAATGCTATGGGGTTGTTTTTCAGAGGTTGGCCTGGGCCCCTATGTTCCAGTGAAGAAAAATCTTAGAGCTTCAGCACCAAAACATTTTGGACAATCATATGCTTCCAACTTTGTGGGAACATTATGGGGAAGGTCCTTTTCTGTTCCAGCATTACTGAGCCCCAGAGCACAAAGCAGCTCCATAAAGGCATGGCTGGGTGAGTTTGGTGTGGAAGAACTTGCCTGGTCCGCACAGAGCCCTGACCTCAATCCCATCCAACGCCTCAGTGTCTGACCTTACAAATGCTCTTCTGGATGAATAGGCACAAACACACTTGTAAAAAGCTTTCCCAGAGGAGGGGAAGTTGTTATAGCTGCAAAGGGGGGACCAAAGCCATATTATTGCCTATGGATTTACAACTATTTAAAAAAAAAAAAAGACACTGCAAAATGTAAATAAAAATAGAATGCAATGATATGCAAATCATGTAAACCATATTTTTAAAGAAAAATACTACAAAGACAACATATCATATGTTGAAACTGAGAAATTCTATTGTGTTTTGAAAAATATATGCCCATTTTGAATTTGATGCCAATAACAGGTTCCAAAAAAGTTGGGACAGAGGCATGTTACCACTGTTTTTCATCACTACCTCTTTTAACAAAACTCGTTTGGGAACACCAATTGCTGTTGTTTAATGTGAAATGTTTTCCAGTTCTTGTTTGATATAGAATTACAGCTTCTCAACAGTTTTGGTTTTCTTTCATTGTATTTTTCATTTCATAATGTGACAATTGTTATCAGTGGTTACAGGTCTGGAATGCAGGCAGGTCAGTTTAGCGCCCGGACTCTTTTAATACAGAGCCATGCTGTTGTAATACATGCAGAATGTGGTTTGTCACTGTCTTGCTCAAATAAGCAAGGCCTTCCCTGAAAAAGATGTCATCTGGATGGCAGCATATGTTGCCAAAACAGCATATGTTGCCATTAATGGGGCCTTCACAGATGTGCACGTCACCCATACCATGTGCACTAATGCACCCCTATAGCATCATGAATACTAGCTTTTGAACTGTGCACTGATAACAAGCTGAATGGTCTTTAGCCTGGAGGACACAGTGTCCATGATTTCCAAAAAGAATTTCAAATGTTGCTTTTGTTGGACCACAGGACACTTTTCCACTTCCACAATCCGTGAGCTCGGGCCCAGAGAAGGTGGCAGCATTGCTAGATCCTGTGTACGTATGGTTTCTTCTTTGTGTTTTAGAGTGTTAACTTGCATTTGTGGATGCAGCGACGACCTGTTTACACAGACAGTGGTTTTCAGAAGTGTTTCTGAGTCCATGCAGTGATTTCCACTACAGAATCATGTCTGTTTTTTTTTTTGTTTTTTTTAATTTTTACCCAATTTAGTCGTCTCCAATTCCACCCGCTAGTTAGGACTGAGGGCCCAAAGATCATGGCCAGCAAATACTGTTTTTTTCACCTTGTTCCTTAATTGTTTAACTTTATTCTGTACCAAAGATGATGAAAAGCAAAACTTCTTTGCCAATAATTATGATGTTGAGTAATGTTATTCTTGAAAATGTTATTTGATCGTGCAGCCTTTCACAGAGAGAACCTCTTCTAATCTTTACTTCTGAAAGGCTTTTTTTATACCCAGTGATGTTACTGACCTGTTGTTAATCAACCACCTGTTTTTTTAGCATTACACAACTTTACCAGCCTTTTGTTGCCCCTGTCACAACTTTTTTGTAAAATGTTGTTGGCATCAAATTCTAAATATAGAAATATACAATATAGAAAAATATATGTATATATTTTTCAAAAGACAATAAAATTTCTCAGTTTTGACATTGTTTATGTTGTCTTTGTACTATTTTCAATGAAATATAGGATTTAAATGATTTACACATTATTGCATTTTGTTTTTATTTACATTTTGCACAGCGTCACAACTTTTTTGGAAATGGGGTTCTAGATGGGATGTCATTAAAGCACCTGTACACATAATGTGTAGGTGTCCCAATACTTTTGTCCATATTGTGTATGTGTATTGCAAATGGGCTTCTATAGCTGAGAATGTGATATAAAGCATCCAAACAATATTAAATATATTGCATAAGTAATGTAGAAAAATGCTTATGTAGTAACAATAAGCCTTAACAGAAAGAACATTTAATTCTGTTACAGATGTGGATGGAAAAAAGGAACATATCACAACACTACTAAAGTAAAAGTGAGCAGTGCTGTACTGGAAATAATCACTGAGTCAGTTGATTTTTGAAGATTGTGCCCTACTCTCCTGTGAATAACAATGATGGGAAGCCACAAAGAGAACAGATAAGATGAACTTATCATAGGCCCTAAAACCACCACCCAGCCCCAGTCATGTAAAACATCACTGCAAGCTTATTTGCTTAGAATATTTATGGAAACTCTTAGTAACTGCATATTGAGAGTTTCAATGAACAGCTACCAAGTGCATGTTCATGTAACACTTGTAATCAACTCTGTAACTTTTATCATTTTGTCATGAAACAATGAGGGATCAGGCCACATCTGGCCATGAAACTGCTTATCAGTGCGGTTACATTTTCATGTCTGTGAAAGTGGAAGGGCTATGTAAAAAAGGCTGTTATTACTAAATGGTCAAAGCTGTATATATATATATATATATATATATATAAATATATATATGTGTGTGTGTACATATAGGTATATGTATCTATAACTAACATGAAACGTGCTGTATTGCTATGGATTTAGTGTTATTATTACCACATGGTATACTAAATTGTACTGGGGTTGTATTGCAGAGACTCTTCATTTAATGTCCCTATTGTAGCTTAGATTCTAAAATATGACTGTGTAAAGCAGCTTTATCTAGCTTCAGCCTCAAAGTCCTGCATGCTTTCATACACCTGATCACACACTTAGCTAATAACTAAGACTGTGGGCCAAATCAGATATGTTAAAGCAGAAAACAGCTGCAGTGTATTACATCAATAAAAATAATGTACAAAACACTGTCCAAACAAAAATACATTGCCATTTGTAATAAGAATTCTTAAAAGTAAATAAATTCAAGACTATGTAAAGTATGTATATTTATGTTACATATTTTGGACACCTGTCTGGCTCACATATCAGTAAGCAAAACATTTCAGAGACTGCTTCAGTCGATGTCTGTGATGATCTTTTAGAAATAATCATTATGAGTCAGTTCTGTTGATTTTTGCTGATGGTGCTTTATTGCGTTGTGCTACTCTGAACACAGCTGTATCCTGGAAGAGTTTCTCCTAAATATTTGACCTAATAAAATAACTTTGAGTGCCTTTCTAAACCACTTGTAGAAGAATGCATATATGATAGGATTACAAGCTGAATTTGAGAAAGCAATCCAACAAAGCACATCAAACAGTTGTGGTGGACCACTCAAACCAGAAAATAGCACAATGAAATTGTAGATAGAAAATGGTACCCAAAATAACAGAAACCCTCCCATGACAATGGCTAATGTTTTAGTTGCTTTTCTCTCTGCCTTACTAACAGCAGGCTGGCCTTTGGATTTATTTACTTGAGCAAGAGTGTTGAGGACTAACCGTGATTGCCTCCGTGCAACAAGATATATTTTCAGATATATGCTCAACATGATAATGGTAGGGACATATAAAAAGATTACAGAAAGTAATAAACTTGTCATGGGTCCTATAAGCCACACACAGGCTCCCTTACATATAACATCACTGTAAGCCTTCATGTTCAGAACATTTAGCTGTGGATATAAAATCCCCTCAGCAATAGCAAGACTCCAACAAACAGTGATCATGAACAGAGTATTAAGAGGAGTGATTTTACTGTGGTACTGCAGGGGGTGACAGACTGCATAATATCGCTCAACTGAGATAAATGCAAGATTTAAAATAGATGCAGTGCACAGCATTATGGAAAGGCTGGTATGTATGTTGCAGAATAAACTCCCCAAATACCAGCAAGTCTCCACTGAGCGTATCATGCTAGCAGGCATCACAGTCACTCCTACAAGCAGGTCAGCTACAGCCAGAGAGAGAGTGAGGTAGTTAGTTGGTGTGTGCAGCTGCTTGAAATGAGTTATGGCTATGATCACCAGAAGATTTCCAAACAATGTAAGAAGTATAATCAGACTAATGACAAAATACATAACCACTCGCACAGCCAGTGGATGGATGGACCTCTGACAGGAGTTAGGATGATGTTCATAACAAAGAGAAATGTTTCTTACGCTCCCATTTTGACTTATGCTCAAGTCCATTATGCTTTTTTCCTTTATCTGTAAAGAAATATACCTTGAAAATGTATTTAAGCAGTGCTTCCATTAAAAGTAAAGGCAGTAATTAAACATTGATAAAAATGATTCGTTTCAAATAGCACAAAAGGATAAAATGAGAATTCCAAAAGTATTTCTTAATTGCTTTTGAGACACATTAAAAACAGTAAAAAGCCCATAATGCATGAGTAGCTATGTAACTCTGCTATAATTAAGAGTAGTTTAAAAAAACAAGCACATATTCATTATTTTCTCTTTTTTTCCTTCTGTGTTTAATGACTTCAGTATCCAGCCTTACCAATGCTTGTATAGAGGGGGCAAAGCCAGCTCTGATGAAAGAGCAACTTTCATTTATAGGCTGACAGACCTGCATCAGGAACGCCCTTCTGCTGAATCACTCCTATTTCCTGATCCTCTAAAAGTCTGTGTGATAGTTACCAAATACAAATCAAAATAAGTTACCTAGACAAATTACGAGTTGTTAAAATGATAGTTGTATATAAGAATTTTCCAACTCTGATTACTGCATTCTGGAAATATTACTAAGCCAAGAAAACAAGAAAAAGGAAGGGAAATGTAAATAAACATGTCTGAGCAATATGACATCATTACAGAAGAAACAGCAAGCAGACGCTGCCAGATTACGTCTTTTCCAAGTATTTCAGTAACACCTCCAATATACAGTAATACCAGCCAAAATAATATTTTATTATTCATGCATGGTAGCTACACTATATGGTCAAAAGTATGTGGACACCTGACCACACCATAATAATTTTATGAGGTTACTGGACAACTGATTCCAAAACCATGTGTATTTATATGAGGTTATCCCCTCCTTTGCAGCTATAACAGCCTCCACTATTGTAGCAAACACTGGCTGAAACTTTACCCCCAGGCTGAATGTTTCTAATGTATCAACAACCCAAAGTTAAGGGCCTTTTGGCTTCAGCAAGTCTGGAGTTGAAAGTGTAAATCTGTCACTTAACACTCCCAACCCCCAAACTTAGTCAAATTTACGACTGAACCAAGAACCAGCACCCCTCTCCCTCGACCCAGGGGGCAACACCTCCCTGGAATATTGGCCACATGGCCCTCCAAAGTCCTGTGGACAACTTTATCTTTAAGTAACAGAAAGTACATTTCTAAGGTATATGTCAACTTCAAACTGCAACCATTCATTAGAACTCTTTTTAACTAAACTAGACATACCAAGAATGGAGCTCATAAGACACTCTGGACGGCAAATTTCAACTTTCTAAATTCCCTAGGGATCTCAAGCATGGACCCACAGCAACCCCAAGGGGTGAAACCACGAATTACCACATCATTACCGTAAGGACTTGTGCTTATAAGGAACCCAAGAAACTTCTTGCTGGGGAAGGCATTCCTAAAATTATGCACAACCAATCAGAGTTGGAAAATGAGTAGCTAGTTAACCTTAGGTGAGGAGAACCTATCAGCACTCTGGCTCCACCCGAGCAAAACCAGAGTGCACCGCAAATTTCGGTGGTTCAGTTCAGATTCCTGCGTTCGCAACAAGAGGATAGCTAAGTTTCTAAGTTTGTGCCGGCCTTGGTCAGAAAGACAGGTCAGAAGTATTAGAACACTAAATTTTCAGATCTGAAACCTTTGTTTGTTTTGTAACTTGCCTGTTCGTCTAGACACCTTTAGTTTAAACCACCCTCAGAGAAGGAAGGTGGATATTTCTTGTCTGGCCAGGGAGAATATATCCATAACTTTCGATTCTGCTAAAGAGAGGTAGTTAGTTAAATTAGTATCACCAGCCTCAGAACCCTGATTGCAACCTGAACCTCACCAGTGGAGTGGGAGCGGTTCTGACACCACGGAGACCCAGCATCGCACCCAGAGCCAGGCACTGATCTGTGAACAGATCGACCATCGAAAGGCTGCCCAAACTCCACCGTCAGACGGCCACGAGACGCCTCCACCCAATCACTGATGGAAAGGCGCGTGCCTGCACGGAGACGCAGCATCCACGGCCAGCGAGGAGAGGAACCACCGCGTGAGCTACAGCCTTCGATCGAGTCTGTCCTGAGACGACCCCGCCTGAAGTCAGCCCCCGACTCCAACGTAAGCTGGTTCCATCAATTTGCAGTCAGGGCCCTGACGCCAATTTATTTAATAAGAGAACTTTTTATAGGTACATCCAGCTATATAGTTATTCCCGTCCATGCTTAGGTTAATTCTCTAGAGGCTCTCCCAAGCAACTTCCCAAAACCACACTGCCTCATACCATTTAGCCGTGAATCACTCTTAGCTTACTCGAGCTATTTTGTCTTTCATTACTATCACTTTGTTTTGTTTTGTTTTCTGGTTTTATTTTCTATTGTTTATCATTGAATGTAGTCCAAAAGTAGTTTAAAAGATATTTAGCCAATAAATTCCCTTTTCTGAAGCATCCTTGGTGCGAGCGTTTCTCTCTCTTGCCCTGGTCCAGTAAATTTTCTATCATCATTTGACACACTACATCCAGTCTGTGCCTACAGGAAGCAAGAGGTGGTTGCAGCAGCCGGGTGGGGAGAGAGTGAAAGGTCTAACTACTGGCTTCAAAGGAAGCACAGACAGCACTGAGAAGGTGGCACAAGAATGAATGGTATATGCATATTAAGGGCAGCAATACAGTGATCATTCTATGGTCTAGGGCAAACATAGGTTAAGCAGCGTCACTGCTACAGGGTGGAGAGCTAGGTCAAACACATACACATGTTATACAAGCAAAACAAATCTTCACTTGTGAACTTTCTTGTACAGCTCAGTCCACAGGTGTCCAGTGGTGTTTAGCTCAGAGGACTGGGATGACCACTGCAAAAGTGTGATTTTGTGATCAGTTAGCAATCTCTGTATGAACCTGAGGTATTCATTGGATTACTGTTCTACTGGAAGAGTCCTGTGAATTAAAAGATCGAATAAAAAATCATAGACCCAGAGACTTTAATGCACAGGCTTACCTGTGCTAAAGCCCACCTGTGCTGAATTTCTGTTTTTCTCTTTTTTTTTTTTAAATCTCTTTTACGAGATTTATATATCCCCCTACCCATATTGATAATAGGCCTACCCATTCAAATGTATTAGACTGGCAGTTTACAATGAAATTTGATTTGTTTTCTGTGAGTGGTGTCACTGTGTTATGGGCACTCAAATTTTGTTCTTCTTAGCCCTCCAATCATTGCACAACGACCACTGCTATCTGTCATCGCTACAAGCTCAGTTATCAGCATGCCAGCCAAAAATTGATATTTGCCTAGATCACTGGATCAGACGATAGACTATAACTTGTCCTGTTCTTGGTCGTTTTGGTGATGTTGATGGTTTTACCAAGTAAATTGTACCACATGCCACACAACAGATTTGACAGAACATCACTAGCACATATAAGCTCAAATTGAAGTTAATCTCAAATATAGTTGAAATTTCGAACCTTGTGGAAAATTTGGATTTTAGTGGTTTGGTCCTGGGTTTAACTTTGATGAGGCTGAAACTGGTGTCCTGTTTACAAGTTTCTTATTGAAAATTTCTGTTCCAACTTCATGTAGTAAGTATACTAATATCAATGTACTAGCAGTATGCCTGTAAGCCTACAATTTCAATATGTATACTGCAATTATATTGTGAGCTATACTAAAACAAAACCAAACTGACTATTAGTGGCAACACCACCAATCCACTGCCACAATACTTCTGTAATGCTTTTTAATATATGAAATTACACTTTTAAATATATTCTCAGTAAACTAATAAATTTATAGTTTTTGTACTGCAAGTATACTTGTAAGTCAACTTAATACATGTAGTTTACTACTTCCATATTGTCTCTGCCCTTTAAAGTATACTACTGGGTTTCTAAAATATCTCTTTAAAGGTACTTTAAGTAGACTTGAAAGTAAACCAATATGAACACTACCAGTGGGCTACTTCTATAAAAATTCACAAGACATCTCAGGATTAAGAACATATTTATGTTCAGAATTTTCAAAGACATATTAAACTGGAGGACAACAAATTCACACCTTGGAAGAATGGTCAAAATATGTTAATCTGTTTCTGTGTGGGTAAATAACACTGTGTACATAAAAGATTAGTTTCAGTTTTACATATATGTACTACTTATTCTGAGGTATTCCATGCCAAACTGTAAGCCAAGTATTCTTAAACTTCATGTACAGGTCAAAAATACTAAATTACACTTTAAGTATATCTCAATCAAAAGATTAAGTGTAAGTATAGGCCAAAATTAAACTTTTCCAAGTATACTTTAGTATGATCTAGGTTGGTCCATTTTTGATAAGTACATAAAAAGTCAACTGAAACATATCACTTATTTTTAGGTTAAAAGAAGAAGACTAATATCACACAGCCCCAGGGCCCTAAGTCCAAAGTGGGAACTACCACACTTCAAAGTGGGAACCAGGTTTTACTCTGCATGACCTTGACTTATGCCACATGACCCTTCTTATGCAAGTCTCTTGTCTGTTTCTGCCAAAATATCTTACATATCTGACCAGTGAACAACAGGAACCAATTCTGGTGTTGACTGGTGAATTCATGATGCTTATATTTCTAGGTCAATCACAGCAAAAGCTTCCCTCTGTATGAACGAATTTTGTGCACAGTTACTGCAAATTAGATGGCTGAACAGTCTTCTGTGGGCTTTCCAATCTCCAAAGATGCTGAATAGGGTAATGATACAGTGACTCTGCTAGTCATTGAAGCAATAAAAAATTTGCTTTCATTTTCCTGAAACCATTTGATCAATACATGCCTTGTAATGTCGGCTGAGTAGCCTGGTGGCATTTGCTGTGGCCCTCCAGAGACATTTCAAGCAGGCACTGGTGGCATGGTTAGCCAAGGCCAAGGGTTGGAGTTCTAGCAAACACAAGCAGCAGCCTTGCTGGTGTGGGTGGTGCAGCGTGTGGCAGAAAAAGCTGGGAGTGGCCGGGGGAGTGCCGCTGCCCATAGTAGCACGAGAAGTGACGCCGTGAGCTGCAAGGAAATCTGCCCCCCTGGGGAACAGGACACAGCCCAAAAGGAGCCTGGCTATGCATGTGGCTGTGAGCACGGGCCCATGGTGAGTGTTTACATGGACAGTAGACATTCTGTAACCCCTGCTCAGAGAGACTGTGGGGAAGGGTGGCGGCATTCCCCTGTGTGCCCAAGGACTCTGCTTTAACTTTGCTTGGATTTTTTCAAGTCACCAGGAAAGCTCCTGGCAAGGGAGGAGCTACGTACCATCCCACTACTGGCTACAATTAGAAACGCTTTACATTTGTGAATAGTTGTTGCTGCACATCTTAACGTCCGCAGCAGAGTTATTTGTGCCTTATAAGTGCCATTTTCTGCTGAGTTCGGGCAGTGGTGCAGTGTTTACACCTACCACCAGGGTAAGTTGTGCGGCTGTTGGTGACCCACCTGCAATCGCTGACCATGAACAGACGAGGTGGTAACAGCTGCTACATAGGGAGAGAAAAAAAAAGCTTAACCACTTACTGAAATCGGACCTCAAATAACAACACAATAGGTGCAACCAGGCGGACAAGCAAGGACTGGAATGTTGGCAGCAGCATAACAACTATTAAATGTTCAATAGCAGAAGATAGGACAAGCATTGCTACAGGACTGAGACAAAGTCCAGAACTGAAACACTGCAGAAAGGAATTCAGTACCTTGATCCAGGGACATCTCCTGGCCTGTGCTTCTGGGGCTATAGCCCTGAACATTTGTTCTCAGTTGCCCTTGTGGCTTGATAAAATGAAGAATAATAGGAATGACAATGTTCACATAGTACATCATTCTCTTTGTTTGGAAAAGTAAAATTTTGCTTTGTCCATGACTTGGGCTGTTAAAAATTTAAATTTACAAAAGGTATAATGTAATAAATGCTCAACATGCAAGCTAGCTAGCTCGCTCACTGGAAGTTGCTCAGTTACAACTGAAAAAACTTTGACACATTGTGCCATTTTCGACTTCCATTCAGTCTTAGCTATCTGGTAGAGGCCAGATTTTGAACTAAAATCTCTTGCTATTTAATGGAATCCATGCTACTGTTTATACTAAGAAAATTCACAGTTATTTGAATTAAAAGATTCATACAAAATCATAGACCCACAGCCACATTTCAAAGTGGGAAATATGTTGTTCTCTGCATGACCTTGACTCAAGCTGAATGACCCTCTCTTTTGTGTTGCTGTCAAAATATGTTTTCTACTGTATCATAGAAGTTGGTTTCAGTTATGATGAGTCAACCCACGATGCTTAAGCCTCTAGGTTGATGAGAGCAGAAGGTTCCCTCCGGCCAAGTTTCTAAAACGTGTGGTGGCCTGAAGGTAGCATCTTAGCTTTTAGTTTTTAAGGCCTGGTGACCTAAAAATGCATCTCCTGCAATTGTCCGAATGTGATTCTTGAAGAAGGTTCTACCCTCTGATCCATCCTCATTTCAGCAGAGAAAGAGCAAATACAGACAAAACTCACCAGCAAGGGTGAAAACCTCCCTCTGTATGATGTGATAAGCATAGCTATTGAATTGGACATTCTGTCGAGAGAGCATCACTACACCTTCCACTCATTCCATAATCCTCCTTTCTCCCTCCTACAAACAGTGTGAGCCTTTTGTGTACCAACATATGACAAGAATTTTTCCCATTTTTCATGCACAGTTAATCATTCCCTGATACACTGACTGCCAGTAACCTTCCTTTCTAATGCAGTACATAAGATAATCTTGGGATTATCCTGGCTACAAAAATAACACCATAGTAGATTGGAAAAACCTCGAAATACTCACTTGGTACTCTTACTGTCAGAAGATCTATCTCCACCTCCCATGGGAATTTATCTCCATACAGACTCTGTCAGCTGACCTCCACATAGAAATCTCTGACTGCTATGCTGACCTTAAGCAGGTCTTAACAAGAAAAAGCCCACCAATCCTTCTCCTGACTGGTCTGGGGACTGTGTCACTGAGTTCCTGGTCAGCACCGCAAGTCCTTGAAACAGGGTCTTCCCCTTTACTGCTGCTGAAACCTAAGCCATGGAGAACTGTATTCATCCTGCTTCCCCATGTTTTTTCTTTGATAAGAAAAGAGACGGAGGGTTTCTTTCTTGCATCACCTACAGAAGTCTAGTGTAATGTGGTATTGCTACCCCTTTCCTGTTGTTCCAGCAGCTATTGAACAATCTTGTAGTTCATGGTACATCTTCAAGCTGAATCTCTGGAATGACTGGAACTGGATCCACATCCAGGAGGGCCAAAAGTGGTAGACAACGGGGTATTATGAGTATCTGGTGATGACCTACAGAGTGAGTAATATGCCCTATGTCATGCAAGCATTTGTCAGTGATGTTATAAGTAAAATGTTGGGAAGATGTATTTGGAGCCATCTGTGGTGCTAAGACATGTCATCCAAATTTGGAGTACATCTGGCCAGGTTTACTTTTTAATCCTTGAGAGCTGTGCCATTTACTTCTCACCCTTTGTCTTACAATTTCTTTGTCATCCAGGCTCCAACCCTGTCACTTTCCCCCACTGAATCTGGCACTATGTTCCTAGAGCTCTGCATGCTGGCTCCTGTCCTGTGAGACAACAACATGGATATGTGAAAGGTTCAGGATGTTAACCCAGTGCTAGTCATCTATCCTACTAGCAAAACCTCTGTTCCCAGAGATCTAAGTGACCATCTGTTAGCATAAGCTAATACTACTATAGCAAATGAACATCCAGGTATAGAGTACACTACACAACAACATTCCCAACAATACTGGTGGCCCACCTTTGCACAGATTGACACCAGATTTGCTCATGCAACACACGTGCAGCTATCAAAACCCCATGTTTAGTCTTTTTTCTTATCCCCCAGTGAGCTTGGTCCTGTTTATGCATTGACTTTGTTACTGAGCTGCCCCCCTCTGATGGTTGTACCAACATCCTGGTAGTTGCTCATTGTTTCCCTAAAGCATATAGGCTCATCTTGCTCTCCTGTCTCCCCTGTTATATAGGTCCCTGAGGTGCTATTCAATCAGATTTTCTGAAACTGTGGAGGGCATTATTACTGACTCTGTACCCTAATTCTACCCTCCAGGGTGTGAAGCACTTTTATGGAAAACCTTGAAATACCTTTTTTAAACATCTGGCCATCATCCACAATCTAATGCACAGGTGCTCCACCTAGTAATAGCCAGGAGTTTGGGAAGTCTTTTATTACCTATTGACAACTTGAGTGGGCTCACTACCTGCCTTGGCCTCTTTTCCCTTTCATTGGAATCACACCCTTTTAGTACTTTTTAGGGTATCAGCTATCTTTGCTCCATGGAACCCCACAAAGAGGGAAGCACCAATGATTAGTTTCAGAATGCTGAACAGGTTTGGCAGGAAATGCACAATCCTTCTGCAACCCGCTAGGCACAACAAAGCTCATGCAGATTGTAGCTGCAGATATGCTCCCAAGTTTCAACGTGGGAACTGCATTTGTATCTCCACCAGAAACTTCAACCTCTGACTGCCAAAGGTACTGTTACACCTGAGACTCTTTGTCAGCTGCACCTGTCTCCTTTTAGTAGCCATTTTGCTGTGTAAATACATTCATCATTTTCTATCACTGGAAGTATAAAACTGTTTCTTTTCTCACTGTTCATTTCCTCATGGTGTAACTTATGTCACTGTTGAATTTTCTCATTTGTGCAGCCTTCAGTTGCCCATGTACTGTATGTATTTTGATTTTGAGCTGTCCTCCAGTGTGTGATCATACTCTTCAAGAGACTCCTCCCACCACCACAGTGAACTGGTAAGTTACGTTATATAATAATTGCATACATTTTTAAAAAATAAAATCCAAAGAACTAAACAGTAACAAACATTTAGACCTTTATTCCAGGACAAGCTTTCATTTTGGTCAAAACATTCTTGTGATCAACATCAGAAAATATCACAATATCTGGAAAAGTTTTAAAAACATATTGATTGTGGAATCTAAAAAATGTGAAACCTACAGTGATCACAACAATAAACTGTTTAAATTCTGCTTATAAAGTTAGTAAGTTTAGGTTGAGTTCAAAATAGATGTGTATGCTGAATGTTAAGATTCAATTTACTGTACTGAACTAACACTTCTGGAAACCTATAGTAAGCATACAATACAGGCTAGTGTTACTGCTTCGTTTTTGTTTGTTTTTTTCTGTACCCATTCTAACAAAATTCAGTTCATGTTTTCCTGTATACTGTTTGCCAATAATTAAGCCCTTGCTGAGTTGTTAGAAAGGGTGCAGTAAGACACAAAGCTGTGCTGATAAAAGCAACCTAAAAACAATTCATGAACACATTTCTCATGTAGCAGAGAAATGAATTACACAACTATAGGATTTAAACACTGTTCTGCTACAGGTGCAAGCAAAAAAAGAAAAGATGAGAACACAAGAAGGTAACAATCACGTGGTCTCACAACTCTTCTTAAAGGAAGATGGTGAATCCTCAGTTTATGTAAATACCAATGCCTGTACATATCCTTTATCAGGAGGTCAAAAAGTCTTAGAACACTACTTAGGTTAATATTTGCAGTGTTGGATTAGAAACAACTATTTAAGTTCCAAGAGATCCATTCTTGAAGAACTGTTCCTAAATATTTTGCCTAATAATATAACTTTGAGTGCCTTTCTAAACCATCTGTAGAAGAATGCATATATAATAGGATTACAAGCTGAACTTGAATAACCAATCCAGCCAAGCACGTCAAACAGTTGTGGTGGACCAGAATAACCTAAAACTGTCACAATAAAATTGTAGATGGAAAATGGTGCCCAAAATATTACAAATCCTCCCATTACAATGACTAATGTCTTAGTTGCTTTTCTCTCTGTCTTACTAACGGTTGAATGCTTTTCTCTTTGTCTCTTCCTGCCTCTGCTAATGGGCTGACCTCTGGATTTATTTATTTGAGAGACAGTGTGAAGGACTAAACGTGATTGTTTCTGTGCAACAAGATATATTTTCAGATAAATGCTTAGCATGATAATGGTGGGGAGATATAAAGAGAATGCTAAAACCAACAAACTTATCATGGGCCCTAGAACTATAACACAAGCTCCCTCACATGAAACATTACTGTAATCTTCTATACCCAGAACATTTAGCAGTAAAATTCCCACAGCTGCAGCAACACTCCAACAAACAGCAATCATGAACAGAGTGGTAAGAGGAGTCATTTTACTGTGGTACTGCAGGGGGTGACATACTGCATAATATCGCTCAATTGAGATAAATGCAAGATTTAAAACAGATGCAGTGCATAATGTCATGTCAAGGCTGGTGTGTATTTTACAGAACGTGGTCCCAAAATACCAGCAAGTCTCCACAGAGCGTATCATGCTAGGAGGCATCACAGCCCCTCCCACAAGCAGGTCAGCTACAGCCAGAGAGAGAGTGAGGTAGTTAGTTGGTGTGTGCAGCTGCTTGAAATGAGTTATGGCTATGATCACCAGAAGATTTCCAAATAATGTAAGAAGTACAACAACACCAATGGCAAAATAAGTCACAATTCTCACAGCCAGTGGATAGGTAAACTTCTGACAGGAGTTAGGATGATGTTCGTAACAAAGAGAAATGTTTCTTATGCTACAGTTTTGGTTCACACTCATGTCCATCCTGTTTTGACTATATCTGTAAAGAAATAAATCAAGATGTAACATCATTAGTTCTTACAAAATTCATTATTCAGTGTAAATGTCAATGAGTTTTTCCTCCTAAATTCAAGATTTTATTAAAACATAAAAACACAAATGTTTTAAAAAGAATAATCCATGTGATACCATAATTCAGAGTAGTCTAACAACAAGCACATATTTATGGTCTTATATTTTAATGTCAGACAACATTTCCAGCCTTACCTCTGTCTGCACACAAGGGCAATGCCAGCTCTGAGGAAAGACCAGACTTAATTTATAGGCTTGCAGGCTTGTATCATAAACACCCATCTGCTGATCCCGCTGTGTTGATCCCCTGATATTTTACATGACAGCTAACAAGCTGTGAATCAAAACACACTTGGGGCTTTTTGTTTTCATTAAGGTAGATCAATTTAGTGTTCTAAATTTAACACAAAATAAGTAATTCACAAGGATTGTGGTGTATAAGAACTGTCCAACTTTGTATATTTCACTCCAGCAGTATTACTAAATCAAGAGATTCAACATGGTTAAGCTGTTTGAGCATTAAAATAGGTAGATTTCTCCAACTAAAGCATTCACAAGTGAAAAAAAAGAATGGATAAATGGAACCAGTTATTTTAATTAAATGTAACACCTAAACATAAATTACATGACTGACCAACATTATAGACACTTGAAGAGAAGGTCATAATGGAAACTGCATAAAAAGTACAAGAAGCCTTACCATCAGGTACACCTGACTCAAATCATTTGCAACTACAAATACTCTGAAGAACTGATTTTACCACCATCCTAGACTGATCTCACTTTTCTCTACACTGCCTTCCACTGAGGTGCTGTTCAGACAGGTCTTCCAGAAGCTACAGTTACAGACTGGAGGCTCCAGTTTAAATCCAGATTGTGGTGTAATTTAATGAATAAAACACAGATGTTGAAATGTAGAGCGTGACTTTCCACAGGCTGATGGGCAGGCAGAGCATACCAGTAAAGAACTCTAGAGGTAACCTCTGATCTATTACCACAACAGATAGGCTGAGTAATATTGTTTCCTTTGGTTGCCTCAGCCTGCATCAGCAAAGGGAACACCAGTTGAGGTTACTAGTATGTACTAGAGTATGTACAAAATTCCTTAAGACACTCTTCTGCCAGCATCACACCCTCCTGATGTGCTTTAATATATGAAGGGAATTTCAGAGTGGTTCCAGCAAACCAACCTGAAATGACAGAAAGCTTACAAATCATCTGCAAGCAGTCAGGTTTCACAAAGCACAACCAGGTAGTCAGTGCAGCGATCCTCCAATGATTGAGACCAGATTTAATGTTTTGCTCTCCAGCAGGAACCTAGATTATGATCATTCAAAGCAATTTGGGGGATCAACCCATGACAATGTTCAACTCTGCTTTACTTTTGTTTTACTTAGCTGTGGTTTCATGTCTCCCTCCCTAAGCTGGTAGTTCCTGAACTTTTGACTGATAAGATGCCTTCCTGTGACCCTTCAATTCCAAACCTTCTATGACCCCCTTTTATTCAATTCCTCCTGACCTCCTGTCAGCAGAACAGCTTTTTACTGCACAATATGGACTGGGGCACCCAGTACCTCAACCCAGGAGCCCCCTCAAGTTTATATCCCCAGACATCTAGAGCTTGTGTGGGGTGCTGCCCCTACTTAGACTTTTTTTCCTCAAGGCAGGGCTTCCGGTCCCCTCTAGCTACTAGCTGAGCCTCTACATCAGCTGCAAATATTGCAGATTAGCGGCCATTTTGCATAAATAACAGAGGTCTATTGGTCAGGGTATGGAAATGAGGAGACAGGACTCATTCATTGGTAGGGGTGTAAGGGTGAGAAGACAGGACTTATTTATTGGTAGGTGTATGGGCATGATGAGACAGGGTGGGTTCATAGGTTGGAGTATAAGGTTTTTCTCTGTTCTGGATGAATTCTGTTTCTGAATTTATTTATATCAAAATATGAGTCTGAGGTCATAAATGAGCTTTTTTCTTTTTGGAAAAACTGTTATCATGGACGTGGCCATGGATGATGAAGTGTGCGACTATGACAGGGTGAAAGATTCCATTTTTAAGAAAACTTAGATAAACAAATACACTTATTGACGGTGATTTCCAAGCAATAATGTGTTTGAGGCAGGAGCTCCTCATGAAATATACACCAGATTGAAAGGACTGAAAACAAAGGAGAAGATCGGACAATCATTCTGAAATCATACTCAAATCATCAGCTTGGTAACCCAAAATTACATCTCCTGCAATTGTCCAAATGTGATGCTTGTAGAAAGTTCTACCTTCTGATTCATTCTTCTTACTGCGTACAAACTGAGCTGGCAATTTAGAAGACAAACCTATCTAAGAATAAGTTTTATCTAATTTTGCAACTGCACTGATAAGCAGTTTCATGGCCAGGTGTGGCCATTGTTTCATGACAAATTAAAGTGATAAAAGGTCCAGAGTTGATTACAAGTGTTACATGAACATGGGCTTGGTAGCTGTTCATTGAAACTCTCATTATGCACTTATTGAGAGTTTCCATAAATATTTTAAGCAAAGAAGTACATGATTAAGCCATCCTTTCCACCCTGTGAGAGCAGACTGTCCAAAAACGGGTGTGAATTGTGCCGCTTAAGAGACCAATCTGTTTTAAGATTAAATTATCAGAGTAAATTGTATTTATATGGCCAAAGGCCTAAACAGTAATAACTGCAGTGTGGAGTCCATGCATAGAAATATAAATGTGGAGAACCTATAGAAATTCCAAGACAACATATTTGCAGAGCAACTTCTCAGCTTGGTGGCATAATGTGAGACCCAGTCAGTAGGTGGTAATTAGCAATGACTATACTGGAGTAATGACAGATAAATAAATATGAAGACTAACAGTTGTGCATAGAATATATGCCATGGAATACGGAAATTCAGGCACTATGAAGACTGCCTAATGCAAAGCTTTTCTTTTTATATGGTTTTAACAAAATTATCATTGTAATCCAGTTGCACTTGCCTACAACTACCAAACATAGCATCCTTAATTTGTGCTTCAGCTGTCTTGTCATTATGGTGCATGATAGTAATTAAGTTCTTCCTGGCCTGAATCAGTAGAATAACATGAACATACACTATATAGACAAGAGTATTGGGACACCACTCCTAATTATTGAGTTCAGGTGTTTCAGCCACTAACGTTACTAAGCATTACTAACAGGTGGATAATATTAAGAACATAGCCGTGCAGTCTCGATAGACAAACACTGGCAGGTAGAATGGGTCACACTAATGAGCTCAGTGACTTTAAACCTGGCATGTGCTATAGCAAGTGCTATTACTGTAAAATGGAAGCACCTAGGAGCAGCAACAGCTTAACCACAAAGTGGGAGAGCACACAAATTCACAGAGTGGGGCTACCGAGTGCTGAAGCGCACAGTGTCTAACCTCTGTTAAATCACTCACTTATAAGTTCCAAACTGCCTCTGGAAGCAACATAAGTAGAAGTTGTGCATCAGGAGCTTCACGAATGGGTTTCCATGGCCGAGCAGCTGCACACAGACCTAAGATCAAAATTCACAATACCAAGCGTTGGGGAAGAGTGATGTAACACACCACCACTGGACTCTGGAGCAGTGGAAACATATTCTGTGGAGTGATGAATCACGCTTCTCTATCTGTCAGTCTGATGGACGAATCTGGGTTTGGCAAATGCCAGGAAAATGTTACCTGAAGTTGTGTCAACTGCAAAGGAGTGCTAATGCTATGGGGTTGTTTTTCAGGGGTTGGCCTAGAACCCTTAGTTCAGGTGAAGGGAAATCTTAGAGCTTCAGCACCAAGACATTTTGGACAACTGTATGCTTCCAACTTTGTGGGAACATTATGGGGAAGAACCTTTTCTGTTCCAGCATTACTGAGCCCCAGTGCACAAAGCAGCTCCATAAAGGCATGGCTGGGTGAGTTTGGTGTGGAAGAACTTGCCTGGTCTGCACAGAGCCCTGACCTCAATCCCATCCAACGCCTCAGTGTCTGACCTTACAAATGCTCTTCTGGATGAATAGGCACAAACACACTCCAAAATCTTGTATAAAGCATTTCCAGAAGAGGGGAATTTGTTAGAGCTGCAAAGGGGGACAAAAGCCATATTAATGCCTATGGATTTACAACTATTTCCAAAAAGGTTGTGATGCTGTGCAAAATATAAATAAAAAAGAATGCAATGCTATGCAAATCATATAAACTATAATTTTAAAATGAAAATACTACAAAGGCAACATATCAAATGTTGAAACTAAGAAATTTTATTGTTTTTTAAAAAATAAATGCCCATTTTGAATCTGATGCCAACAAAATGTCCCAAAAAAGTTGGGACGGGGGCATGTTTACACTTCATCACTACTTCTTTGGACAAAACTCTGTAAGCGTTTTGGAACTGAGGACACCAGTTGCTGTATTTTAATGTGAAATGTTTTCCAGTTCTTGTTTGATATAGAATTACAGCTTCTCAACAGTTCTGGATTTCTTTTGTTGTATTTTTCATTTCATGCTGTGACAAATGTTATCAGTGGTGACCGGTCTGGACCGCAAGCAGGCCAGATTAGCACCCAGACTCTTTTAATACGGAGCAGTGCTGTTTTAATACATGCAGAATGTGGTTTGGCATCGTGTTGCTGAAATAAGCAAGTCCTTTCCTGAAAAGACGTTGTCTGGATGGAAGTATATGTTGCCAAAGCCTGTATGTATCGTTCAGCATTAATGGGACCTTCACAGATGTGCACATCACCCATGCCATGCACCTCTGTACTATCATGAATACTAGCTTTTGAACTGTGCACTGATAACAAGCTGAGTGGTCTTTAGCCCAGAGGACACAGTGTCCATGATTTTCAAAAGAATTTTTCAAATGTTGATTTGTTGGACCACAGGACACTTTTCCACTTCCTCTCAATCCATTTTAAATGAGCTCTGGCCCAGAGAAGGT